AAGGGGCTATGCTACAACTGTGATAAAAGATTTGTGCCTTGACATAGATGCAAGAGTAGGATAAACTACATGATTATGACAGAAGAGGAGGAGTTATCCTACATGCAAACTGAGATGGTGGAAACAGAAATTACTAATGACCAGGCAGCCAACTTGGAAGAGGTGCAGATTTTACTAAATGCCTTAATTGGTGAAGGGAGCTTCACAACACTGAGGTTTCATGGTTATGTTGGGGACAAAAAGTTGCACATTTTGGTTGACACAGGGAGCACACTTAGCTTCATCAAGAAAACTACAGCACTATCTCTGGGAAGGAAATATCACCTACCAAACCTCTGATTGTAAGAGTGGCAAATGGGCAGAAATTGATAAGCAATCAACATGTTGAGAACTTAACATGGTCTATGCAGGGAAAAAAGATGTCACACAGTCTAAGGGTGCTTAAGAGTGAGGGCAGTGACATAATTCTTGGTGGGGATTGGCTCAGGTCATGCACACCTATAGAAATTGACAATGATGCCATGACTGTCACTATCAATGTGGGTGGTCAAAGATTGAGGTTACAAGCCTTGACTTATGGTGCAGAATGTCATTTGATCTCAGAACATACATTATTCAGCTTGTTGAGTTGTGGACCAGAAAATGAGATTGAAGAGATGTACTTGCTCACTCTGGAGGAATCAAAAGACAGAAAAGGTGAGGCCCTGACCCAACTCTTACTAGAATACAGAGATGTTTTTCAGGAACCACAAGAACTCCCATATGAGAGAGGCATTGAGCATCAAATACTTCTCAAACAAGATAGCCAACCTAAGCAGCAATATCCATACAGGGTTTCTCATGATCAGAAAGATGTCATTGAAGAAATGGTGGAAGAAATGCTCTAATCTGGGGTTATACAGAATAGCAAATCTCTTGCTTCTCCAGTATTATTAGTAAAGAAGAAGGATCAAACTTGGAGGTTGTGTGTAGATTACAGGTACTTGAATACATTGACCATTAAACATGATTATCTCATACCAGTTATTGAGGAGCTGATGGATAAATTGTTTGGTGCTAAACACTTTTCAAAAATTGACTTGAGGTCAGGATACTTTCAAATTTTGATGAAGGAAGAGCACAGATATTTAACAGCCTTTAGGACTCATAGTGGGCACTATGAGTTCTTTGTTATGCCATTTGGGCTTTGTAATGCCCCTGCAACATTTCAGTCTCTTATGAACCAAGTTTTCAAAGACAGCCTCAGGAAGTTTACACTAGTTTTCTTTGATGATATCCTAGTCTATAGCAAAACTGAAGAGAACACCTACAACATCTGAGAGCAGTCCTACAGTTGCTAAGGGAGAATGTTTTATATGCTAAACAAAACAAGTGTAGTTTTGGGGACTCACAAGTTGAATACTTGGGCCACATCATTTCAGCAGAAGGGGTATCCACAGACCCAAAGAAGGTAGAAAGCATGTTACAATGGCCAACACCCACTACAGTGAAGCAGTTCAGAGGGTTTTTGAGCCTAACAGGATATTACAGAAGGTTTATCAAGAGGTATGGAAAAATTAGCAAACCTCTCACTACTTTACTGAGGAAGGATCAGTTTAAATGGGGTGAGGAAGCTGACATAGCATTTGTGAGATTAAAGGAGGCAATGACAACATCCCCAGTTTTATCTTTGCCTAATTTTTCTCTACCTTTTACCTTAGAAACTGATGCAAGTGGGCTGGGAATAGGGGTAGTTCTTATGCAGGAGGGAAAATCTATTGCATTCTTAAGTAAGGCTATGTGCCTTAAGAATCAGGCTTTATCCATATATGAGAAGGAGTTTCTTGCGGTCCTACTTGCAGTTCAAAAATGGAAGCAATATTTGCAAGACCACAAATTTTTTATTAAAACAGACCAACAATCTCACAAGTAATTGTTGGACCAGAAGGTAGCATCACCTTGGCAACAAAAAGGAATTATGAAACTACTGGGGTTGGATTATGAAATTCACTATAGGAAAGGGAAGGAAAACAAGGCAGCAGGTGCCCTCTCTAGGGTACCAAATGGCACAGTGGAATGCACAGCCCTAACCACTATGATTCCTAAATGGGTAACAGAGGTTGTTAACAGCTATGAAGGGACCATTTCATCAGAAAATTGAAGGAAAAATTAATTGTGGCTCTAGACTCTGAGATAAACTACAAATGGCAGAATGGGGTATTGAGGTACAATGGCAGACTTTTCATAGGTCAAAACCCTGAACTGAGGTACAACATAATTTCAGCTATGCATGAGTCCTCACTGAGAGGGCATTCAGGGATGCAAGGGACATATATGAGGCTGAAAAGAATCTTCTATTGGCCTAAGATGAAGCATGATATTGTAGCATTTGTACAGAAGTGTGACACTTGCAGAATCAATAAACCTACAAATGCACCCCCC